AAGTTCTTACAAATTTAAAGACTCTAACTTTCTTTATGAAGTCAGTCCATTTCATGTTAGGCTTCTTCTATGCTTGCTGGCTTCCACTTTTCATGATGTTATTACCTTTTCCAGTGAGCCCTGTCTTCTCATGATATCTTCAACCAATGATCACCTCTGTTTAGTAAGATCTATTGAAAGTTATTTTAAGACAGTCGCTGGAAGGACAGCTCAGTGAGTTGGGTAGCTGATTGCAGAGCTATTGATCAGCAGTTTGATTTACTACTGCCTCCTAGGAGTGGCCTTGGATCCAATTAAATAATTGTCCAACCTTCAACTTCATTGCTATGAATGGAGCAGACTGCCATTTTTGTATATCTTTACACTTAAAGATCTTTTCTAGTTGCTTTGCTGCCTTTCCGAGTCTTCATCTGATTTTTTGGCTGGAGACTGCATTTGGATTGATGATTAAGTCAAGTTACAGAAAATCTTTAACATTTTAAAATTTTTCCTTATCAGTGTTGTGTAATTCTTCTGTAGTCATTATTTTTGTCTTAATGTTCAGTTTTAATTCTGGTTTTGCACTTCCTTTTTAAAAACTTCCTCTATAATTGCTTCAGATGATTGCTGTTTTATGTCAGTAATGTAGTCTTATCTTCAGATTTTATATTATTGATTTTTCTTTTACTATTTTTCATTTTTTTTCTCCAGCGAATCCAATCCAGCTTTGCATATGGTATGTTGTATGATAGGGAGATAAAATGTACCCTTCTCTGAAACCTTTGCTATTCTGTTTATATATGTTCTGTTTTTACGCTAGCCTCTTGTCCAGAGTGTGCGTTCTTCATCAGAACAATCAAATGCTGGGGCATGAACCTTTCTTTCAGAGTGTTCTGTAAGGGAAACATTCACTTTTAGATCTTGAAAAGGCTTTGGCATGGGTAGAGTTCCTTCAAATATCATGAGACAGAGAGTGGGTGTGGCTCCCTAAAGTTCAGGGGTGGTCTTGTGAAGCATTTAGAACTCTGAAAGTTGTCTACCCATTCTCATCACTGCTTTTTAACTTCTGGGTCTCCAGATATTTTCTTATGTCTCTCCCAGAAGGAATAATAGTTAACCATATTATTTAAAAAGTGTTTGATTTTAAGAGAAGGGGTTCAACAGAGGTAAACTGTTATAGGGTTAATTAATTACTCTTTTCCAAAAAAATATAACTTGCTTTCTAGACAAAGAAAATATGATGCATAAACATCAGCTTATATTGTAGCAAAACATTTTATGTAGAGCTATAGAAGATGGTATTAAATTAGAGAAATAGTTGTACCAGAGCACTTGGTTCAGTGTAAGTACAAAGTTGGCTTAAGGGAAGAAGCTGTTTTTTTTAATATACACACGTTCATTAACACACATGCTTGTTAACATTCTAATTGTGATAAGAAACTAGCATGAGTCAACCTCAGTACTCACTGTCCCCTATCTTGTTTAGCAGCCTGTGCAAGGAAAACAGCAGATCTGCAATGAAAATTACAGATTATACCACATTCAGAGGCTTTGTTTATTCAGAGAAGAGTCAGGAAACTATACAAAATTAATCAATCTCAAGAATTAGGGTAATAGTATGAAATCGCATAGTGTCAGGTGATGTTTCTGGAAACAGAATTAACCTTAATAAGCATCTCTGTTACTCACAGCAACAACAGCCTATGTGGTCATGTACGATCACCAGAAAAAAGAACCGGATAGTTTGTGCATGGTTATGGCTTCTCGGAAGAATACAAGAACACTCATAGTATGTGATATTTTTCCTAGTTTTTCTCCCTAAGGTCATAAAATCAAACAGCTAAAAGAACTGGGTGCAGCATATCAACAGATGGCATTGTATATAGTTGATAAAAGAATGAAAGATGAGTGAGTGCTTCCTTAGAGGCTGAGCTGCTGTGGTATACACTTGTCTTTTTCAGGAAAAAAACACTGCAGAAAAGAAGTAAGATAATCACTGGCTTTCCCCCCCCCCAACCTTAGGGGCTGCATGTTCTTTATCTTGCAAGTCCCCCTGTTAATTCCTTTACTGGCTGAACCACTTCCGCTCTGCTGTTGCCATGCACTCAGCACTTGAAATGAATGGCCCATCGTATATGTACATATATTTAACGCTTTACCACTGTGTGCCTTGAGTTGGAATATTGTGTGTACTTTGTAATTATTATTAACACTCTAAAAATGCATGAAGTGAGGTTCATGAAATTTTAGTACCTTTTAGTACTTCCTCTGTTTCTCTTGCTAAAAATCTTCTAAACTTTAGAAATGCAAAATAAGGTAGCATAATTTTTTATAAAAGAAATTGAATGTATGCATCTGTTCAACTAGTTGGAAAATCTAGATATTTGATGTACAGAGTTATCTGTAACATGTACAACCAAAATCATGTAGCCAAGTACTGCAGTGGTCCAGAACAGCTGTCTTAAGATGAAGGGTCTGACTTTGAGAATGCACATCTGGCTTTGAGAATTTCATTAGTTTTATTGATTAATTAATTAATAATGCATTTAAAAATAGGAGGAACAGAATTAACAAATCATATCTAGATAGTCCTGCACAAAACTTGCTTCTCTAAAGACAACATGGGGATCAATTAAATAACTAATCTTTGTGAAGAAAAAAGAGCAACAGTCAGAAGCCTCTCCTCTAGAATTTCCTATGATGTGCAGGTGGACCATGTAGTGACCAAGTCTTTATTTGCAAATAAATGATTGTACGCACGTCAGTGAATGTATTTCTCTTGAATTTACCATTTGCTGCTCTTATTTAGTATGTCATTTTTTCCGGTAATGTGATGTCTACAGCCAGTTATACATATTAAAACTTTATAATGTTTTTTGGTGTCTTATGCTTTCAAGGTGTAAAGCAGTCAGTATGAGTGGGATCAAAATCTTTAAGGAGCAAGTTTTTTTTTTAATTGGCAGAAAAGATGGAGAGTATGCATTTTGTTGGCTTAGCTGTCCTCAAAGTGAGTGTACTGTGCCTGTGAGAGAAGGCAGATTGTACAGTGCTGTGTTTTCAAGTTTCAGGTTTCTGTTGTATAGCATGGAATTGTGGACTTTAACACAGACTGCTATAAAAAAAGACAGAAGCATTTGAAATGTGGAGGTATTGCAGGATGCTGAGAGATTTCTCAGTTGAGAGGGTGACCAGTGAAGAGATACGAAGACAAATAAAGACCAAGAAAACATGGAACCCATAAAATGTAGAAAACTTAATGGTCACATAACAAGAAATGAAAAGTTGCAACTGATATCATGGTAGAATAAACAAGAAAAGAAACCTGGCCAGAAACCCTTGGAGACTGGTTTGTTTGGAGCCTCATTTGGAGCTGCTGCAGGCAAAGTCAGAATAGCCATAATGAGATAATGAGAAGAAAAAATGAAGTGTCCTCATAAAGTGCTTTTGGGGAACGGAGGGAGGAGATGTGTGGGCTTCCAGAAAATGTTTTATTGGAGAGAAAATAGCAAATAAACAGTTAATCATGAACTATTTTCCAGGAAGAGAGCAATAGGGAAAGGGAGTGGATAATAAAGCTCAGAGCGTGAGTGCAGAGCTTTGAGGCGAAATTGCAGTGGAACATACGGAAGGAAGACAATAAAGCACAGAGCGTGAGGTGAAATTGCAGTGGAACATACGGAAGGAAGAAGGGAGTATTATCACCCCTTCCTTTGATATATGTCATGAACATCAAAAGAAGGAAAGATGATTCAAGGGGTGCAAACAGGACACCAACAGAAGAGCTTGTGAGCTCAATAGAAGGGAAGCAGTGACTCAAGAAGGACATCGGGAATTCAGGAAGGCTGGGAAGAGGGTTGCTCTGCAGAAGGGGGAAATCCTGCTTGTAGTGCAAGCAGGAATCTGGAAATGCAGGCATGTCACGGGAGATAGAGATCTAGCTGGATAAATGCTTGGGGCACTTCAGTGTAGGCATGGGAATTGTGGATTCTAATGAAGGACAATTTGTCATGTGCTTGATTGACAAAAAGAGTAGTCGAGTTTACAATGAATTTTTAGATTGAGATTTGCAACACTTTCACAGTGTACAGCATCATTTGTTTCTCACGTTCTCATAGTCAGTCATTAAGGTGACACAATGAGGCTTGATTATCTTGGTACTGAAGGAATGTATGGCATCTACAATCTCAGTAGATCCCATGCTAGTTGACCAGTGGTGGAGTTTCGCTCCGTTATTTTTGCCCATAGGGAATTTTGATTGGAAAGTGTAACTAAAACTTGCTGTATGTAAATAAATTCATACTACCTTTGGAGCTCGGAAGTCATTTGTTATGACTGATGAATTACTTGTCATTTATTTTGCAATAATCGAGGCGTATAACATTGTTACAGTTGTCCTGTAATGAGGGATAATTTCATTCTTTCCAACATAGCTATTTAAGTGACTCTTATACTTACGGGTTCTGTGGCCTCATTAGACTAAGTTTGTATGAAAAGTTAAACTTCTTCCCTCATGGAAAAACACCTGTTCATTCTCCCTTCTTTGCCATGATCAGTTTAACATGTGAAGGAGAGAATTGGTATATAATTCTGAGGAAGCCATGCGTTAATATTATTTTTTGTTACAGCAAGTGAGGGCCATGTCGATAAACAACATTTTACAGCTGGTAATGAGGCAAGTGAGGGCCATGTCGATAAACAACATTCTACAATGAAAGCATCAATTATTTACATTTTAAAATTGTATTTTCCCCCCTCCCAAGAGATCTTGGGAACTGTACTTAAGGAGCTAGAGATATTTAACAGAGAAAGATCAATGCTCTTCTAGACCTGCCATTTTCATGCTGCCATGAAATGGCTATGTTTAGGCACATCCAATTTTTTTTTAAGAAGGATTTTGTACCTAGATAATAGCTGTGATGTCTTTATCTAATTTCTCACCTCCTTGTTATATGTAGTGGCTATACCAAAAACAAGTGTGTGCAATCCATGTTAACAAAATAATGGATGTTTTGTGTTTCAAGGGACGTCCCATCATGGTGGCTTCTCCCATGAAGCTGTGGTGTATGCACTTCAACAATGTGGCATCTATCATATTGACACAGCAAAGCGATACGGCTGTGAATCATTGCTGCAGAAGGCTATCAAGGAGAGTGGAGTGAAGCGAGAAGATCTCTGGATAACAACCAAACTCTGGATTAGTGACTATGGCTATGAGAATGCTAAGCGAGCCTGCGCAGAGTCTTGCAAGAGACTTGGTGTTGAATATCTAGGTATGGTGTGGTTTTTTTTGGTCTTGATTCGTAGAATTCTATTAACAAATCTGGATGCATTTTTAGTAAAAATGTTCTGGTTTGCCTCACCTGCCCAGCTGGTGTATTTGGAGTCAAAATGCCAAACCTCATTCATTACATTAAACCTATTCCCCTCCCCGCAACATGGAGATGATCTCTGTGGGCAGATATAATGGGGGCAGACCAGTTAACCATATTAAACAAAACAGCCCTGCTTTCCTTCTCTCCTGTTTCAACTTCTCATTTTTAACAAGATATGAATCAATAAATTTGGAGCCACCTTTTCCTAGAAAGAGCATTCACCACCTTGAACTATCTGCTCCTAGTTGTACTTTGGTACAGAATCTTCATTTTAGTCGGTCTTGAAGAGGAATGTTTTTGCTCCCAAATGATAGACTATGGAAGGATATTACACAGGATATTACACTGAGGTTTTGTGACTCTTGAAGCTAGCCTGATTGGGGCAGAACTTTCTCATTCTCCCATTTGTGTTGCAGATTTTCTAAAGAACAATAGCTGTGTGGTCATCTTACAGTAGTCATGTCCAAGGTTTCTGTTTAACACATAATAAATGACAGAGTCATGGGAAACTGGAAATATATATTGTGCTGTGGGAGAGGCTTTTAAAAGATACATTTCATCCCATGCTGTTAAAAAAATCACATTTTCACTCTTTCCATATAAGTTTTATATTTTAGTGGTAGGCATCTGTATTAAATCAATATACAATTGCAAAAATGAAAATCTGGCTTGAAAACTGCATTCCCTGTGCTTTGGTCTCTGTACCACAAATCATGTTTTTTCTGCCTTGTGGTTGTTGGATGTGCAGTCCATTTTATTCTCCTCCATGTATGTTTTGACTTGCTTTCTGGTCCTTATTAGCAGCTTCCCTTTTATTGTGTTGGGAATTCCAATGGAATTGCAAATATTAGTTTCCCTTACAAGCATACTGATGACTGCTAACTGTGAAAAGTTAGCCATGCATTTTGAATGAAGAGAGCTTTTTCTTCTAAGTTTTGATAACTCCTGGGAGACCGACAGGCACTGCAAATTAATGAGGCACCCAATGGTTAAGATGGTGGAGCTGACTGAGAAAAACAGTATACAGTACATTGAACTGTTTTGCATTATTCTGTTTTTGTATCTTACTGGTTTGGCATTCCAGTGTGAGGATTTGATGTCTCACAGTTGAACATTAGTTCGATTGTACAGTAGTTTTAAATACAAAGACACACCTAAGAAGAACGCTGGCTTCAGTTTTAAGTATGTGGCATAAAACAGTTGTTGCTTAACTGAAAACTGCAGTACATTCAACACAGTGCAATTATTCTTGCTTTTGCCTGTATTTAAGGCTCAGTTTAAATCTTTGTACATTTGTTTATACACCAGAATTTAATATGCGTAGACACAATCCTGTCAAATTAAATACTCTTAAATCCTTTTGATTTCAGTAGGATATCTTCACATCATTCCTAGTGGAATCAGTAAGAGTGAGATTTACACACGTGCGTGTTCATTTGGAAATGAGTTCAGAGGGTTGTATTGCTGCATAAGAATGAATAGGACTGCAGGGTTCAAATGTTTAACCTCAGTTAGATGATGACTTTGGAAAATGCCATTTTCTATTTGTTCACACATTTGTAGCCTACCTCTCAGTTCACCAGATGTCCCCCAGATGATACAATTAACATTTCAGAACCCATAAAACAACCTAAAATGACAATCAAAACCAGCACATATAACCAGAAACAGGATTAAAAAAAAAAGACAAATCTGTTAAAAGCAAAAGTATTTTTTAGTAAGTGGCCTTAATTCTCTTGATTGTTTGAGTTGCAGTGTATTGTTATCCTTGCCATGTCCTGATCCGTTTTAAAAGGGAATGCAGAAGGAAATACTTGCACGACCTATTTGTATTTTCCAGAGTGTACACGTGTTTCACAATCTTGTATATGTACTTAGGTGCAAAAAATCAAGCAAGTCATCCCTTCTTTTTTTTTTCCAACTGTTCATTTAAAATGTGGTTCCCTGAGGTTGCACATCTCAGCTGTACCGAATGATGAGTAAGCGTTTGGTCACACTTTATGTATTTGGATGCTGCATCGTCAGCAGGAATCCTGGATTTCATCTGCTCCTCATCTTTGTTCAGTCATTTGTGCATGTGTCCAATTGCTACCACAAGCATGATAGAGCTCCATAGTTTTCATGTGAGCAAGAGCTCGCTCTCCCTGTTATTGGCGAAGGAGCTCATTATGGACTTTATTCAAAAGAAGCAATGAACAGAGAGTCCCCCAGGCAACCTTTTTAGAGCTGGTGTGACCTAGTGGTTAGGACTGTGTGGCTTTCAAATTCAAATCCCCCTTCTGCTGTGTGTTTGGAGATGGCCTGAGTCAGGCAGGATAGCCATATGATATGGAGGTCAGGTCTCTGTACCTTTAGCAGTTGTACAGAAGAATAAATATCAGGTTAGGTGCTAGTCAGGTTACCAAGCTATGTACAAGTTAACCCTCTTGAAATATGTTATTCCACACAGCCGTTAAAAGTACTGGAGCCCCTTTTCCCATTCATGTGGCTACCTAATTCTTAGGTATCTACCATTAAGAAAAAGGAATAACAATGATCCACTTTTCATAGCTTTAAGGAGAATGCTTTATTTGACAAAATGTATACTCATACTATCTATTTAAGGGTTATTTTCCTGTGGCACAGTTATTAAATTGGAGTCCTGCTGCCAAGATTCTCTGTTTATGGCTTTAGCTTGATCTTGACAGGCTCAGCTCACCAGCTTGAGGTTGACTCAGCCTTCCATCCTTCTGAGTACCCAGCTTGTTGGGGGGCAAAGTGTTGTTTGTATAATTATGCTGTAAACTTCCCAGAGAATGCTTTATTACTATGAGTGGTGTATAAGTTATAAATAAGTGAGTGTGGTAGTAGTGCTATCTCACAAAGCTAGAGTGCTTTTTGAAAGTGTTTCATGGATTTTGGCTTCCTGCCTTGCACAACCAAGTCAGAGCTAGACAGGTGTGTGCTGGAAGCTAGGAAGATGTATTTGAGCTAGACCAGTGGTTCCTAACCTTTGGCAACCCAGGTGTTCTTGTATTGCAATTCCCAGAAGCCTTTACCACCAGTGAGGCTGGCCAGAGTTTCTGGGAATTACAGTCCAAGAACAGCTAGCTTACCCAAGGTTGGGAATTGGTGGGCCAGATGCCTTAGTTTTGGGTTGGTTCTGCAGCTGTCGTCACCTCAGATCACCCCACTTGTGTCTCATCCATGGTAGGGAGGCAAGGGGAATAATTGTTGCAAATGCTAGCCACGGTTGCTTTGTGTAGGAGTTCCTTTAAATACTCCATCTTCATAGTGTTCTTTTACTTTTCCCATAAAAATGGCCACCATTCACTTCTGCGCAGCCAAGAAAAGGCCTGCATTTGAATGCTGTAGCTAAAAGGCGAAAAACTGTTCTTTAAACTCAGTGACCAAGGCCTTACCAGCATGGGTCCTTAGCAGCCCTGGTGCATGTGTTGTACAATAACCCTGCACATGTTGTGACTGGCCAAGCAAAACAAAGCCCGCCAGTTGTGTGTGGTACCCTAGTAGAATTTCCACAGCCTCCTAATCTTGCTTTATGCCAGGGAACTTCAAAAAGAGAGGGAGTATGTAATCCGTGGATAGGACGCTGTGATTATCTTGGTATGTCAAAAGTTGTGTAGACTTATTTTTATAAATGCCACAAAAATATGACCATCTCTAGTGTGTCTGAGTGGAGAGATTTCTAAGGGACCCTACGAACATGGAAGGTGACATACCCTTTATTCTACATTGTTGAATGTAAGAATCCTTTAATATTGTAACTGTGCAAGTAAATTTTTTCACTGGCATGTATGTCCCTAACTTCTGGCTACCTGTGGGCCTAAGATGAATATGTACAGTATCTGTATGGCTTTAAAAATAATAATAAAGTCTTGCCACTCCTGGAGAAACATGGTCTTCCATAAAATGAAGTGGTGCCCAAGACGTTTGAAGGCACTGATGTGCAGAAGGTGGAAAGGATATCAGAAGATATCAGAGCAGGCCAGAGGTCTTGCAGTTCTCATGGCTGCTAAAGCATTCTTCTTGAGTTGTTAGAGTGTCTCAAGAATGGCACAGAGCTGCTTTTGTATTTGCAGAACTCCTTGTGTGAGCATTTAGGAAAGGAGGCTTACCTGTATAGTAAAAGTGGTGCTTTTGAGTTGAATTTTAGCGTAACAAATGATGTCTGCACCATGTCATATTCTGATCTGGTGATTAAAAGATGCGTTTCCTCTTCTAAATTCAGAAGTAATTTTCCTTCTTTATTAGGAGCTTTTGTGCTGTAAGCAACTTTGAGAGAATTGATTAATGGGAATAAAAACTGATCTTTTTTGTTTTAGATCTTTATTTAATGCATTGGCCTGATGCGCACATCCCTGGTAAGAGCAGTAGAGAAGTAAGAGCAGAGACCTGGAAAGCCATGGAAGAACTTTATGATAAAGGTAGGATGACTGTAATAATGGAGGAGGGATTTTACTATTTTATGATTTCATATTTTGCAAAAAATGCATAGAACCTTTGGGGAAAGATAGGAACTGATGCAGTATGGTGGGGGCAGGAATGAAAAGGCTGTTGTGTTTGTGCACTGCTTGTAGGCTTCCCACATCTGGTTGGCCATCCAGTGATCTGACCATTATTTGTCCCACTATGTCATGTTCCTCACTGTTTCATTTGATATTTATTTCATTGACTATGCAACATTAGCACTAATCACAAATAAATCTGATCTTTGGCCTGAGTATGTGGTATATTTTGTTCATGTAGCAGAGCTTTCAACCACATCCCCCACAGTGTTTCCAGTCGCATTATGTGTCTTGCTTTCGGCTTGGTGATTATATTGGTTTCTTGGGGCAGTTGAGCTATAGCGCTAAGCTGATAACAGTGTTCATTCATTCTTGTCAATTTAGACAAACTGCTGACAGGTAGTGGTGGCTGAAGAATCACAAATAAAATTCCAGCCCTTTTCCATGAATGGTTTGGCTGGAGCCATAATCCCCAATAGGTTTGCTTACAAGTAAGTAACCGGCATGCCTTATATTGCTGTCTGTGCTTTTTAAGTGCACCTGCATATATAGTGGAACAGAAGTTTACAGGGATGAGGAGGAGTAAAGAAACCTGTTCCCAGTAATACTTTGGTTGCTTTCCACATGCCTTAGAAATGCCTAGATCTCACTGCTTTCCTAAAGAGGAATAAACACTGGACAGTACAGGGCAACTTAACTGAAGTAACTATATTTTGTGGCATCAAAGCCACGATTCTGGTTATAGTTCCGAGATCACAGAGCTTTAGTGATATTGCTTAAAATAGATCCAAAATGTGGTCAAATTGGTCCTCTGGTGATAGTGGGGATTTTATTTGTATAGCAGTTCTGGGTGCATCCTCGAGGAGACGGGCTTTTGTTAACTGGTTCAACAAGAAACTGAGAATAAGAAATTCTGATAATTAATTTTCAAAGGGTTTCTTTGGGGAATTTTCGGGAATTACACCTCTTTTTTCAAACCCTTGCCATGATTCCCTAGTATTTCCTTCCTCAAATGCACCGATTTACTTTGCCCATCCATCTATGCTTATTCTGAGTTTAAAAAAACATCAGAAGTTAGGGAACTGAATGATTTATCATTACCATCCAGAGTTGTGGGTTTTTTAAAAATCTTATTACAGATTCGGTCTCCCTTTGTATGTCTAACTCTCTTTTCACCTCTTGCTACATTATTCAAATTAATGGCAAATAAATCTCAATCCAATTAAAATGGCCTTTACGTCTGCCCCAAGCGTTCTGTTATCTGGTCTCATTGGCTGTTTCTCCCAGCTACAAATCACCTCTTTCTTGTCTCAAGCAAAGCAGAATTTTTGAACCTCTGGCCATGTGTTCCTGAAGTGATAGGCAAATGTTAATAAATTTGGAGGTTTAAATGAAGTGGCCCATGAGAGAAGAAATGATTAAATAATTTGCTTGCATGGTTAACCACTAAACTTTCAGTCAACATTCAGATAATGCTTAATCATCCCATTTGACTTATGGCACTGGTCCGGGGTTTCTAGAGCAGTCTTTTAATTAGTATTGTTCCTTTTGATTATTCATTCTTTATCTCATCTAAAAGCTTGTGTGTAATGTAGTAAGGTGGCAGTCCCAAACATACTTGCAAAGGAGTACGTCCCCTTGCAAGGGAGTTAGCCCCCTTGTACAGAGTAGGAGCTCCTTCTAAATATACAAATTTGGATGCTCTCTAACAGCTTAAATTGGCATGTCCTTTTTTTGCATCTTTTCCCAGTCATAAACTTGCCTAGACAAGCCACTGATCTCTCAATTCACCTTTTTGCAAGAGGGGTATAATAATCCTAACCTAATTTACTGTAATTTTGTAAAGGCCTCTGAGGTTCTGTGTGACTAGCTTTGGGATTTTGAAACACACTTCGTAAATTACAAGTTTTACTGCTACCTGTTCTTAAATTTGAAGCTAAACATATTGGCCATTATATCATGTATGTCTGTTAAGAAGCCTGTGGTCCTTTTTCCTTTTTATTATACCATTTGATTATTTATTGATAAAAGCAGAGAGCTGTAGTAAATCCCAAAAAATGGAGAACAACTTTGCTTTAATGCAAAAGCTCATGATTGAAGCTATACCCCTCACAAAAATGAAGTCAAACCACATGTCAGTTGTCCTCTCTCAAAACATAGATTCACTTATACACCCTTCATGTACATTAGTTCTGACTTCATTTAAGTAGGAGACGTGAACTCCACTCTTTGATTCCATAAAGACAAAAGGCCTCTCCTTACCTACGTAAGACATTAACCACATATTTCTATAGAATGCAGATCGTGTGGGCTGGACTGGTAAAGATTATGACATTTGAGAGTAGGAGTGCACTGCAAATGTACTGTTTGTAGGTCAGAATTTAAGGCAACATATTTTTAAAGCTCACATACCAATAAACAAGCAAATATCAACAATAGCAAAGCACTTTGGTCGACAATTTCTCCTGAACAGTTTGATCTCTAAGAAAATTACACCTACTCACAAAGGAGAGAGAGTTGCCATTTATTAGTCTCTTGAGAGTCCCCTGCACTGCAAGGAGAACAAACCTATCCATTCTAAAGGAAATCAACCCTGAGTGCTCACTGGAAGGACAGAACCGGAAGCTGAGGCTCCAATACTTTGGCCAACTCATGAGCAGAGAAGACTCCCTGGAAAAGACGCTGATGTTGGGCAAGTGTGAAGGCAGGAAGAGAAGGGGACAATAGAGGATGAAATGATTGGACAGTGTCATCAAAGCGACCAACATGAATTTAACCCAACTCCGGGAGGCAGTGGAAGACAGGAGGGCCTGGCGTGCTCTGGTCCATGGGGTCATGAAGAGTCGGACACGACTAAATGACTAAACAACAACAAGTCTCTGTTGAAAAGTAGGGATCTACATTCTACAAGATGTTGCTCACAAATGTGTCCTTCCATCACAAGCAGTTGCTTTGAGGCTCAAAGTTTCCGCTGGGGAGGACATCCCAAGATCAGGCATTTTCCATTTTAAGGATAGTCTTTTTTAAAAATGAAATTTAATGAGATACAATATACAAAACCATAAAATAGTTATAAACCATCAAATCCCGCATAGTAAATATATCAAATGGTACTACTGATTTAAGGGTACAGTAGTTTTAACCAGTCACGGAGGAAAGGTTCAAACTTTTAGAAAGTGGCAAGATTGACAGGTAGAAAGTGCAGCATCAGTGAACTACTAAAAATTAAAAGGCTGCCAGAAAAGGAGAAAAAGAGCACCCCGTGGATTCCATCATTAATTTCTTTGAAGGAGATTACATGGAAGCCAGCAATCGAGCAAAAGACCCCCCCCCCAGGCTTCCAACGGTCTTCTTCAATATGGTATCCTCCAAATGTGTTAGGCTCCAGCTCTCTTCACTGACAGGTAGCTGCTCTCTGAGAATTTGAGGAGTTTCTAATCAAGCACATCTGGAAGGTAGCAGCCAGGTTGCGGCAGCCTGGTTTAAATAAATAATCAGCAACTAAGTATTATTATCTTTGGTGGTGTGACCAGTCTGGAATTCGCTATGAAGAGAACTGACACTGAACTGGAAACGTTTGGAATAATATTAAAATCTAAAAGCGTGTAGAAACTCCCTCCAGTTTTATTCCTGCCAGCTGGGAGTCTAGTAATTATTTTATGTTACAATGAGTAAGACTTTTTGGTCAAAACACATTTTGTTTCATATAACAACATATTCGTTTTTAAATTCAATTTCAGAGTGATTTGCTATATACTTTTCCAAGTTTCTATGGATCCCAATTTTTGCGGTATTATGTTTTAAGTTAGAAATGAACAGCAGTGGAGGTCTGTGCAAGTTCTCCCTTTATACATCTGTAAGGAACTGAGGTGGACTGATGCTGGCAAAGATAATCCTGGAGCTGTGGATTAACAAGTACTTTGCTTGCATCTTGCTTTACAAGGCAGAGAGCAATGGCACTGTTGGGCACCCTTTGAGCCTTGTTTAATTCAGAATACTGTCATGTGTTAGAAGTAAGAAATTGCTGAACTTGAGCAATCAGATTTCAGTTTCCTGTGGAGGAAAGACCACTAAAGACTTATTGCACCTGTGTAGTATTCACAAAGAGCATAAGTAAACAGACACACACTCCTACGAAAGAGCAAATCAGTTAGATCACAACACCAGAAAGGTATGCATCCACATGTGTGCAGCCACACATGCACGTATTAGGATGTGCCATTTGAAGGTTTCTTTTTTGGACTCCCAACTCCCAGAATTCTCCAACAGTTCCTAAGACAGAATTTTGGGAGTTCCTGCTCATAGAAATGGACTTATATTTCACTCAACTAAAACAAGTCCCGTCTTGTCCACTGTTTCCTGTACAAAAAAGATGCTGCCACAGCAAGCACTTCTTGGGAGGCCCAGATCTTTGTAGTAGGTGTAGCTTTGCTGCCTGTTAGGCTTCATATAAGGCACCCCAAAGAATGACACCTCCCACAGAAACCTAGGTTTTTCAGGAAACACTGGAACAGTTTCCTTTTAAAAGAAACAACTAGAAATAGGTTGGAGACAGCCTGGAAGATAAGGTCTGTTCCACTGAGTTCTGGGTGTTAAAGTTTTTTTAAAAAACCTCACATCCAGAATGGCATATCTATGTATGCACACAAACACAGTATTTAATGCTTTAAGATCATTCTCAGCTGTGTCCTTATTCTGGACTACAGTGATACATCAGGCAGCCCACTTAGCTAAAGAAATGGATTACCATTTCCAAACTCTTTTAGGTGTATAATTCAGGTGATCTGCAACTAGATCTCAACCCTAGCTCCCACCCAAGAAACAATCATTCTGGATAACCTCCTGAACAAAAGAAATGAAATTGGTTATTTCCTCATTAAAAAGTGAGTTGTCCCTATCTACAGTAGTAGTAAATGGAA